GCCCAGAATGCCCATTGGATAATGCGTGCCTGACTGCAGGTATTGTAAAGGGAAGATGTAGGGAAGTTGGGATGATCTCCTCACAGACTCTGGTGGACAATGGAAAATCTGACACCATTAAATCACACAGCTGGCAAGTTGCAAGCTATAAAACAAACAAAAGCTATAAGCAACAATAAAAAACATGTTAGACACATTAAGAGCAGATTTTTAAAAAGTAATGTAAACTAATAAGCTTTTTCATGTGATTGGAACTATATTAATCCAGCACAATGTTTTCATTCTCCAGGTAATTCCAAGAGTGATGCACAGAACTGGGTAAAATCACCTCTTTGGGCCACAAATAGAAGAATTGTCTTCATTCAACTGGTGGAGTTTAATGTTGTGCATGAGAAACACGAAATAAACATATTTTCCTGAAAATACATTTTCATGCAATTATATGACTGCCAGCAGAAAAATGAAATAAGACAATAATTAAAAATAATATGAAAATTAGTAATAACATCCAAGCATCAAAAATTATTATTTACAAGGATTGTGCATCTTTGGTGAATGTTTTATGTATACTTTTGACTTATTGTCTCTGTCAGGCTAAGCCTGGAGAGGACATGTGTTTGGTCGTGTGTGTGTGTGTGTGTGTGTGTGTCTGTAATCTCACATATTACTGGACCCATCAGCCTAATATTTTTAGTGCACATTTATGACTTTATGCTTAAGGCCCTCTCGGGTTGCTGTGATTCACAATTTTTGGCAAAACTATTTTATTGATTGAAAGGTTAGACTTCAGTCTTAAAATCAGTTTAGTCGTATTTGGGGGTACTACTCGTGGCCTATGAAAACAATCTTCTTTGGCTCTGTGTTTGATAGTTTCTTTTCTTTTTATCTTTTTTCCCCAAACTTACATGTTTCACATGAAAACCAAAACCTGACATCCATTTCATCATCGTATGAAAATAAAATGTACATTGAGAAGCTACAAAAAGTTAAAATAAGACATGAAATGTAAATAAAGAAAAGGCTAGGATAAATGTATACTAGTTCAGAGGGCATTTTCTTAAATCTCTTTGAATTTCTCCTGAAGCAGACTAATTGTAAGCGCAGATATTATTATTGATAGGCTAAGTTTAATTGAGTTGATGTAATTTCCAAATTCAATAATGAATAATTGAGGAGATGGGAGTATTACATTACATTTAAAAAAAAAAAGTGTTATGGATATAAAATTGACCCAATAAGATTACTAAGTCAATAGCCACTTGTATTGTCTAGTTCGTATTTTAGCCTCTAGAAATAACATCCTTGCCTTTGGCTTGGTTTAGCAATATGTCATATTGTTTCTCCCAAGTCCACATTGTCTCTTTCTCTTTCCAGTTTCTGACAATGTGGTGGATGTGGATACCAGGGAATTAATAAAAGATATACACCGTTTCACACATCGTATTTATTTATTTATAACTATGGACTGAATTTTTATTGTATTTTTTATAAAAATATTTATTGACAACAACAAGTGGACAGATACAGCAGACATGTGCTCAGTATAAAGGTATCCAGATGAATTAGCCAACATAAAGCTGTTGATGAAAAGCATATGACATAACAAAACATTAAAAAATAAACATGTAAACAAAAATTTTGGAGAGTCTTCGTGATTTTCCACTTCTGTACATGGAATATGCCATGTGAAATCAGTAAGTTTACAATTGCTTTGACCTTACATTTATCATGTTCGAAACATGCAATGACATTTATGCAGTCAATTGTAATGCTTTTAGTTTCACAAGTAATATCTTTCATACCAGTCCAAAATGTACACAAGGAAAACTAGATGCAGGAATGATTCTGGCTCATCATTGCAAAAATCTATTATTTTAGATATTGAAAAGTTTGTTTCAATTTCAATACGATACGTGAGAATGTTGTCCCAGACGAATTTACATTTAGGAGTAATTTTCCTTCTTTCACAGAGTGTATATAGCCTACCTATCATTGCATTTAGCGTTTATAATATCTAAACCATTTCCATTTTAACATTTGGTGCTGAAGTGATTCCTTATGTGACGCATGACGCTGAAGTTAGCAGCTGCCGATTCGGCAGTTAAGGGGAAAGTTAAGGGGAACTTCAGTGAAAGTTAACTTAATAATAATAATAATAATAATAATAATAATAATAATTGCCTTTATTGTCATTCCATATAACAACGAAATTACAATTGCATTTCCCGTAGTGGTGACATATAATATGACAAGACAACATAATAAAACATGGATAAAATACATACATTATAAGAATGATAAATAACTAAAAGTCATTAAGTCACTTAAGTCATTAAAGTACAGTGCAGTCCAAAAAGTCATGAGTTTAGGTGTTTTATAGCATTTGGATAAAAACTATTCAAAAGTCTTGAAGTGCGACCCTGGAAAGATCTGTAACGCCTTCCAGATGGCAGCAGAGTGAAGAGGTTGTGACCTGGGTGAGAACAGTCCTGAATTATGTTTTTTGCCCACTGCAGGCATCTGGTGCGATATATGACAGTGAGTGAGGGGAGCTGTATGTTAATTATGTTTTGTGCTGATTTCCTAACTCTGTCCAGGCTTTTTGTCAGCAGTGGTGCAGCTACTAAACCACACCAGAATGTCGTGTGAGATGATGCTTTGGACAGAACAGTTGTAAAATGATAAAAGCAACTTCTGGGAAAGGTTCATTTTGTTAAGTGACCTGAGAAAATACAGCCGCTGCTCAGCTTTCTCCACAAGGGCACAGTTTTGAGTAGTTCAAATGTATTTAATATAAAATGCACAAATCCACACTGTTGTTCTCTACAATGCCCAGCTTGGATACCAGTCTTCCAGGGATGATGCAGTTGAATGCAGAACTGAAGTCCACAAACAACAGTCTTGCATAGGTGCCAGGATGTTCAAGGTAGGTCAGCACACAGTGCAGGGCTGTGTTGATAGCATCCGTGGTTGACCTGTTTGCTTTATAGGCAAACTGGTGCTGGTCCAGTGTGGAGGGGAGAGAAGCTTTTATGTGATTTAACAGCAGTCTTTCAAAGCACTTCATGACAGTGGAAGTGAGGGCCACTGGTCTATAGTCATTAAAGCTACTCACAGCAGATTTTTTCGGAATCGGCACAATAATGGCAGATTTGAGGCACTTGGGGATGGAACAGGTAGACAGAGAGAGGTTGAAGATGGAAGTGAATACCTCAGCCAGCTGGTCGGCACAGTCCTACAACACTCTCCCAGGGATCCCGTCGGGCCCGGCAGCCTTTCTGGGGTTTACGCCAAGTGGTGCCCTCCTGACCTCCTCTGCCCTCAAAGGGAATGTCAGGGCATCTGTGGGCAAGAGTGTTAATGGTGTGGCTGATGATTTGTGAAAATGACAAAAGGGTGATTTCACTGCTTTTTCTGCACATGCAGACCACATTAGACCAGGTCCAGATCCAAAACCACTATACATAGAGATCTCAAATCTGGACTAGATTGTCCCACAGAGGCTAAAGTTTCAATCAAACATAGTTTCAGATTTGTGAAACCTTTATTCAATTTGTGAAAATGCTTTAAAGGTCGCTTTCACTGCTTTTTTTGCATGTAGACCACATTAGACCAGGGCCAGATCCAAAACCACTATACATAGCTCTTAAATCTGAACTATATTATTCCACACAGGCTATGGTTTCTTTATAACACAGTTTCAGATTATTGAAACTTTTATTCCTTTTGTGAAAATACTATAAAGGGCGATTTCACTAAGCTGGGCTACTGCAAAAACTTTGTAATGTACCATTAAGTAGACCAGGTTGCCCGAGCAAACCAGCTGATCTCATTTCCTGCTACTTGTTATGCATTCAAGCAATGTCGGCAGAATGGACACAACCGGAAAAACTCTCCATGGTTGAGGCATTATTGGCATAAGTTTGTTAGCAATAATGCTAACCTTATAATCACAGTAAATAAACTGTATTTGTATGTTTGTTACAGAGTGAAACCGTATTAAACCAAACTGTGTACTTAGAGCTACAAAAATGAGCCGAATCGATGCATTAATGTGTTAATATTGGGTTTTATTTGGATGTAACTGAGAGTGGAGGTTCTGCAGTCTCTCTGTTGATGCCTGTAGATGATGTCTATAGTTAGTACACAGTAAATACATAATATATACAATATATAATATACAATATATAAACACATCATAAATATAATCATAGGTGAAATAATTATTCAGATCTTTTACTTAAGTAAAAGTAAAGTAAAGTACTCAGTTACATTCCATTACAGTAATCAATGCATTTAAGTGTGTAACTATGTGTTTAATATGTTCTTATTTATTTGCATAATGAAGGCTCTGGACATTGACAGACTCAGAGACTCAAAACGCAAGATAATTACAGAGTTTACTATGTCTACAGAGATAACACAAGACAACACCAGTTTAAACAGATACAGGAAAAGGCTAAAACATGGAATACTTAAATAAAAAATCATAACATGTGCTATATGTTTTCCCAACCATTTATCCAACAAATATCATTTGAAGAAAACACATTTTGCCTCATATCATGCCTCCAACTCTGACTCTGATTGGCAAAGCCTCTCTGGGACAATGTAGTCCATATCGGAGAACTCTAGGTATAGTGTTTTTGGATCAGGCCCTGGCGGTCTAATGTGGTCTTTATGCAAAAAAAAGCAGTGAAATCACCCTTTTGTCATTTTCACAAATAAAATAAAATTTTTTCAAATCTAAAAAAGTGTTTCAGACAGCGTTAAGGCTTTGCTTAAAATGCATGACAGCTTTCACAGCAGTAAGAGGTGCAAAAAAAGAGATTCGGTCGCTCAGCAACGTAAGTTAACTTTCACTTAAGTTCCCCTTAACTTTCCCCTTAACTGCCGAATCGAAAGCTGCGAATCGGAAGCTAACTTTAGCGTCGTATGTGACGCAACCGTTTGGAACAGACGTCATAGGTTCCTCCGTCCAATCGTATCGCTCCAAAAGTAAAAAAACAGCAGTACACTACGCTTCTCTTCTGCGCAGACTCACGCACAGAGGAAGAGACAGGTCTCGCTTCCCACAGAGGATTTAAAGTCTGTTTATAAAGGTAAGAAAATACCACTCTTTTGGATTCTCAATGGTAACAAGTGTAGATAACGTTAATATCGTTCACTGTCTTTGTGTAGAATATGAACGCGGTGTCACGACTGTTTTCTGCTCTCTACTCATGTTGTTATGCTAACCGGTGCACGCTAGCTAATCTAGCTAACATTACCAAGTAGTAGTTAGCTTGGCACCTTCCTCTAAAGCTAACGTCAGCTTTTGTTTCATTCGCCACCTCTGGCTCTGTTTCGCACGCCTTTGATCGGTCCCATTCACGCTCTAAAAGGTTCTTTTGCAAACCCGAGAGTAAACGAGACTGATAAAGTAAAATCCATATCTCTAATATCAGGTAGAGTATCTACCAGAATTGAATGACAGGTGAACCCTGTCTGAAGGGAAACTTGGATGGATGAACTGTAAAGGTTACCGTCAGTAAACCTCTGTCTCGTCTCGCATATATAGTTGATAGGCAAGTCATGTCAGTTATATAGCACATTTAAAAACAACAGAGTTGATCAAAAGTGCTTCCCAAATACACAATATACACATATACATGTGTACATGAATAAAGAGTACATTCCATTGTGTATCCAGATACACAATAAACACATCACACAAGTACACACTAATAAAAGGAATATGAAGTACTTGGTTAAAAATAAAATTAAAGAAACTAAAAAGATATAAAAAGGTATTTTAAATTAGATTTGAAGCTTTCAATGGTGGGGCAGGACCTAATGTTAGACAGAAGACTATTCTAAAACCTGGGGGCAGCAACAGAAAATGCCCGGTCACTTTTAGTTGCAAGGCGTGAGTGAGATACTCACTCATTAGAGACACAGATAGTCTGTCTAATGTTACCAATCGTTACTCTGTATGGCACCAAAGCGTCCTATGGTCTTATTTTGGCAAAGGAAGTTCATTTCTATTGCACACGTAAGTTAAAAGGGCTTAAAATAATACATAAACAATGTTAAATACAACAGGAACAACACACATTTAAATAAACTATTTTAAAGGAAATTGTAGGGGAAACAATCAAAACAGGGAAGTAATCACAACATAGTCAAAGACTAGATGTTAAATGCGCCGTAAATAATGAAGAGGCTCTGTGTTGCATAGCATCTAAATGCTTTAATCAATGAGTTTAGACACAGGAGACAGACAGCAGACCACTAACAGATGATATATGGTAACAGACAGTAAGAGATGTATTATGGTCCCAAGTCATTTGTAGATTTACAGATTTAGTATATTAAACTGTCTGTTTAATATAGGCACTAAAACTCCCCCCAAATACTTACTGAAACTTAGAGACACTATACATTGTTGGGTCATATGTTCTGTGATGTATACATACATGGCTATATGCAAGGCAGAGTTGCCACATTTTGCTATGACTTTGGCAAAATGTTCGTAGTTTTTTCCTATAAAATTCAGAAACAATATGTCCTACAAAGTGAGTAAACACACTTTTATTTCACATATACACTCTGTTCTGAAACAAACATTCAAGCTTGCTTTGTTATTCTGGGGATGAATATAAATGTTTTTGTATGCGTTCTTTTTTTTATTTGCATCAGCTCTTAGGAGCTCATCACCACCAGTAAAGCTGTATAAGCACCGGGTTGACGGGACCGAAGGAAGTGGCGCGTCGTACGGGGAGCTGCCTGCTGACATCGCCATGAGTTACAAACCCATTGCTCCTGCGCCTTCTGGCTCCAACCACACACCTCCAGGTTCTAAGACCACTCAGCTTTAATGGTGGACGTGCAGTGATTGGACTGTTGCCATTTGTCTATGTTATAGAAAGAAAACCTTTTACACCATGGCCATGGAAAATACTTCTGGTCAACTGTTTTAATTACCTTTGGAAATCAGTGGGAGTCTAGCCAATATTAGAATGACACTAACCATAACAACAAGACATTGTTATTATCATGCTGTGATAATAGTTAAACTAATAGTGAAACCAAAGACACTGACAACTTTAACTAAAGAAATGGATAGTGGCCATGGTGTAGATGTGATAAACTCTCAATCTTGTGATTGTTCTTGTGTTACAAGTTCTGTTAATCTGTTCTCCTCCTCTGTGCAGGCTCCTCTGTGCCATCTCCATCTCTGCCCTCATCATCCAACTTTAGGCCGGCTTTCAGTGACTTTGGCCCACCCTCTATGGGCTTTGTTCAGGTATGTCTGCAGTACAGCTATACACTATATAATGATATTTTTTACCAGTAGAGGTCAAAGGGTAGAGAGCTTGTACTTGACACCATGGCTTTGTCAGCCACTCTGTGACCATACTAGGGCTAAAGCAGTGAGATACCTACATAGCAAATGAATGAATAATGTCTCACAAAATTGCAGAACTGTTGCATTTGTATTGAGGAACAAAGTGCACACCCCCTCTGTTATTATTTGAAAACTGGCTTTTTTTTGTAACTGATTTGTAAGAGGGACTTTTCCTTAATTTGCAGCAGCACAGGTCCCATTAGATTATCAGGTTTATTGGAGTTTTGTACCCATGCACCTAACAAAAAGACAGAATCGAAGGCGCAATCAACAGTTGAGTTGAATTGCAACATTCAGATATACAACATGATGAAAAAGAGAGTCTGCTTCAGTTAATTCACCTTCCACCTTGAATCATTTGAAACAGTGGAAAGGAGGAATGGACTTGAAAGCATGGCAATGTAGAGGATTAGATGGGAAAAGTTGGGTTGTTGTAGTTCTACAGTTGGTCTTGAAAATAAAGATACCCTGTGCTTTTCCTCTGTTTTACATCACACTATACCATATTAGTCTACATACAAGAGTCTACATTTTCCACTATAGTTCATCTTGAGTTGTGATGTGGATTTCCAGCTGTGACAAGTCTTGATGGATATTTGTTTTTCTCCCAAAAACAGCCTGTCAAAGTGTCTCAAGGGTCCACCTACAGCGAGCTCCTGTCTGTCATTGAGGAGATGAGCCGTGAGATCAGGCCTACATACGCCGGAAGTAAGAGCGCTATGGAGAGGTTAAAGAGAGGTATGTTTTACTTGTCAAAAACACACCTCTTTTCAGTGCAAGTCATGATTTGTATGTCTGGTGTGTATCATGAACAGTTAATAAAGGGCTTTCTTCTGAAGTCAGAAGAAAAAGACAAAAAACTATAATAAGAAAAAGCATTGGTTGATTTTGCTATTATTATTATTATTATTATTATTATTATTATTATCCTTTTTTATGGTGGGGCACCAAACAATGAGAAAGTAAAGGCAATGTCTACAAAACACCAGGATTAAATGGGGTCCAAGAGGAGACGATCATTAGGCTAGTCCTGTTTTTGACTCTTTACATTCTGATGGACAGTAATACAGACATGTATTAGTAATGTATTGGTGTGTTTAGCATAGAATCACATGCATTAGAAACCTCTTTAACTGCAGTGGCTGTGGTGTTAATTTACCAGGCAGATGAACCCAATTTTGTCTTTAACTCGACCTGCAGCCCTATTGTCATCTCAGTAATAACAGCTGTCTCGGATGCATTAGACTAGATTGAGGTAGACTCATAAGAAAGTAGAGCAGAAATTCACGTAAGCGATAATTTGGAAAAAATAAATGTAAGTTAACTGTATTAGCTTGTTTTGTTTTTTTTAAACTTCCTTTCAACATGTTTCTCCTGTTCAGGTATAATCCATGCCCGTGCACTGGTCAGGGAGTGTCTCGCAGAGACGGAGAGAAGCGCCCGCACATAACCTTTTGGAAAGCTCCCTTCACCTCTCACTGTTTCCCTGTAGAAGCCTGGCCTCATTAAGTTGTTTGTTTTACAACCTTTTTAAAAAAAAAAAAAAAAAATAATCCTCCCACCTTTTCTCGCTGGCTTTTTATAGGTGCATTATGTCCTTCTTGTCTCCTTCTCCCTGCATTCCACCACACCCATTTTATTCATTTCAAACATTCTGTGACCTTTGGGGTTTATGCAAAATGTGGTTTTGTAACTATTTTGAAATACGAGTGTGGGAGGGATTTCAACGCATTTTAGTTGAGCTGTGGGTAAAAACCTTGGTTAAATGGATGGGAATGTTTGTTCTATAATGACAACTGACCAAGAAAGTTTTTTTTTTTTTGGTTCCAACTGCACCTGTGCTTAAGTTTCTATTCTGAACATCACTCTGCAACCACTTGATATTTTTTTGTTAATCTGAGCAACTTGAATATGCCCCATTTCTTTTCAACCTTGCTCAGTTTATCATATTTTGTAGTGTAAACACAAAATAGATGTTTCTCAATCCCAAGAACTCTGTACATCTCAAGTCAATTTGTTAGTATGGAAATTTTGTAAACCAGATTTTTGCAGTTCTGTATGTATATCTTAATTAAATAACAGAAGAAAACACTTTCCATGTCTGTTTCTTTAGTGAAACATGGGTTGCTATGGAATCAGTGGTCAGATTGTTTTTGTCAAACTGATGATTTATCTGACGGTGATGACACATCTTTATAAAATTTATTTTATTAAACAGAAGTGTTCATTGACCTTTTGAAATAACGGCTTGACAAAAAGGTCTTGCTGTACATTTTGCAGGGCATTGAGCTCACTACTCAACAACTGATGAAGGACATTTACTGTGCTTAGAATGTTTTTGTCCATTTCTCATCTCCTACAGAGGACTATACAGATTATTCTTGGGAGTTGAAACAATACAAAACGACACAATTATTATTTATCATCTGTCTGCTTGTCACAAACAAACAAAATGCAAAGCTGGGCAAAAACACATTTATTTTCAGTTACATAATCACAACCTCAATATCATCTCAATTCAGACAGGTTGGCTACCGACCTGCTGCTTCACAATGAAGAGTAACAAGTAGCTCTTTCTAAGTAAGTGAAGGAGATACTGAGCGATGCGTGTGGACAAAAACAACATAATGGTAGTATTTTCTTACATAATGAAATAAGTAAATAAGAGGAAGCAAAGATAACACAAGTCTGTGTGTTACATTGTCACACACTGGTCAGTTTCCCAGTCGCATCTACCTGGAGATAACTGTCTCCTGCTTATTCCAGTGCTTCTGGTGTGACCAAGATAAAAAGGGGGTATGGCGGGACAAGTGCCTTGTGCAACAACAACAAAAAAAGCTTTTCTGAATGGAGAACACTTCTGTCAGGAATCCTTTGAAATTCCTCCTTGTTGGGCTACGATTACAAGTAATTTTAGGATTTCTCAACAGCTCTGCTCATATTTCAGAGAAAGCAAGACAACATAAAATGCTTAAGCTATTTGTTTCTAATACTGTGATTAATGGTGTTTGCTATATAAACTGCAATGTAATGGCTTTCCCCCCTAACAGCAGATAAATTCATCATTAAATCCGCAGCCCATTACTGCGTGGAAGTTATTTATGAAACCACAACAGCAAGTAAGAAAATGGAATTCAGAGACCACGACATGGTTTCTATGGGATCTTGGACTTTCATTCAAGTTGAGCTCAAAATGTCAGCACGTTCTAAATCAAAGAAATTACATTTAGAGAGAGGGAGTTTAAAGGAACAAGGCAGGAAATAAAATAAAAATAAAAACACACCTTGGTGTGTATTTGACCTGACAAGCATGTGAGAATGTTTCTGTGTGTACCATGAAGGGCAGAGTGTTTGGTTTGGGTGCACGGATTAAAACTGAAACACCATCAGTGTCTACGGTTTCTCCTCCATCTTGAAATTCACAGGCGTCCCCTACCAGTTCCAACCCAATCTCGTGAGATTCAACCCTGTGAGGAGGCAGAGTGGAGATATTTTTACATTTCTAATTTCTAATTATACATTATGCTACAACAAATAAGCTTCAGTGGAATATCTGGTAGCCAGACAGGAGATAGCTGCAATAATAATATTAAACTGCACTGACCGTAGTAGCAGTGGCTGGTGGTGTGTTGAAAAGGCCTTTGTAGCGATTCTTTTCCTCCTTGTCTTTGTTGCGGATCCTCTCCTCCATGGCCCTCAGCTCCTTTGCAATTGACTGCTCCAGAGAGGGGTCCAGCTCCAACACCTTAGCAAAGTCTGCCCGCGCCTCTGCCTCATTCCACACTGCAGCGTGGGCCTTGGCCCGCTTGTAGAAGGCCTTCACATTGTCTGTTGTTGAAGGGGACAAAGGAAAATAACCAGGTCATTTTGTGAAAAATGTTTATCAACAACTTAATATGATGAACTAACAGAATTTTCAAACAGGGATAATCCACAGACTGTAACAATTTAAGGTAGGATGATGAAAATAGGAGCTTTTATTAAGCCAAAATAACACTGGAGGTTTATCAAGTTTCCTAGCCACATGGTTTAACCACTACATTACAGTACACTATGGTTTCCTTACTCACAAAAGATCATGCATTTACTTTTCTAATGACTAAGTCACTGCATAACTCAAATGTTCAGACAAGTATTTGTTTATTTGTGATACTACATATATATGTAATTCAAAGACATTGCTGCATTTTCTTTCAAACTACTTTGGTCACGGATGTCCAAATTTGGTACAGTTAGTAAGGCATTTGGGGCAGAGCTGTTTTGCAGGCTGTGATGCACAGGTGTGGAGGCAGCTCTGTGTCAGAATGTGTGGTCAGACGCACGCCATACATCTTGCCCATAATGAAAATATCCGCTTTTATCAAGCCACAATAACACTGGAGGTTTTTCCAAGTCTCCTGGCCACATGGTTCAACCACTACATTACACTACACTTGTATGGCAGACTCATGAACCCTGATAAAACCTAGTTGTTGTGTGTGAAGAAAGAGCTGTTAGGTTGTAAGTAAAAGTAATCTTTGTATAATAATCATCTGTCTGCCACAATCAGTCTAACAGGTATAGTATGCAATGTTGGTGCCAACGTTCATGGTGCTCTGTTTGATGCATTATGGCATCTAAATTCCTTTAATCATACAGTTGTTTATCATGGCACATTTACTATTTTTATTATGTAAGCTGTGCAGTTCATTTTCTAGTAAAAAGTAATTGCTATATACAGGTGACAACAATAGCTATTATATTGTATAAATAAACCACAGAGGATAAATTAGAGTTGTAGATGAATCATTTGTGTCAAAAGACTAGTTTTTCAAATACAGTATGTAACAATTTCAGATCTGCAAATGTCAACACAGCAATAGGACCCAAAACATCATATATCATGCGCTAAAAACCAAACTTACACCTAGGAGGAAGCTAGGAAGTAGACAGTGACAGTTATTTCTGTAGCTATAATTGCAACATACAGTGTGACCCCCCATTACCATAGCAAGGTACTGGGTCACCATGACCCACCCGAACAGCTTCAATATAGTACTTGAATCTATTGAACAGCATTCCTTCAAAAGATATTCCCTCATTTGGTGGTTTTGTGATGGTGGTGGAGAACAAACCAAACAAAAAAACATTGACAAGCCCAAATAGACCGCTCCCTCTTTGAAAGCAATTACAAATACTTACAATCTGTAGTGGCAACAGAAATGTTTCATCTTGTTCAGCACCAACAACAAAGCCTTACCCTCATATTTGAAGACCAGTGATGTGCAGTGTTCGATGACTTCGTAGTACTGGCCCTGGCGTAGCAGGCACTGGCAGTAGTTGAGGAGCAGCGGTGTGATCATTTGGTCGAGCTTTACCCATGCTTCATCTCCAGGATGCTCCTGAAAGGGGAGACAAAAGCCACAAGAAGAAAAGAGAGAAGAGTTAGAGTAAGTAAATTGAAAATGTATTTTCAATTACCATTTTGGCTTCCAACAATTACGAAAACAAGATAATCGAGATTAAATGATTATTGTGCGCCATGATGCTCTCGTTTTGTCCTTGTGTTATAAATCCAGTGCTCCCCTTTCCTTTACATCGGTGGCTCTTGCCCCTCCCTAAAAGCCCAAACTCAGTCTCAGCCAGGCTGTGGTCAGCCAGGCTGTGGTATGTTTGATGACGGTGTTATAACTGCTGTCACTTGCTAGTCCCCATTATTAGCTTAACCCTATGGCATTTTACACTGCTTACACTTTTGTAACACTTTTCTGTTGCTGTTATCCTCTTGCGCTCTAAGATGCTGTTACTGGGGGTTTCCGGACCCCCCCCAGTATAATGAAACTGCACATTTTCGAGTGGCCTTTTATTTTGGCCAGCCTAAGGCACACCTGTGCAATACCAATGTGCAACAAGTGTTGCGTTTAGAATTTTGTTCAGTGTATGTTGGATTGCTAGTTCTTATTTCATGGGCTATTTGGGGTAATTTGCATATATAATAATAAAAAATTAAGCATTTGATTTTAACCATTCAATAAATGCAAAAATATTTCCTAAGTCAGTGAGCAATCAGGTTAAATAATGGTGATCCTAAAATTTACCAAAATAATTGTTTTCATGATTTTTACAGTGATCGAGCAGCCCTAATTTAAATGTTTAAAGAAAAGGATATTCAAAAACTGGATCTAACCTTCATTTGTAGATTTTTCAGGCAGGCAATGCCATTGTAGTACTTCTCTGTGGCTTCCTTAATTCGACCCTGTTTGAACAGCATGTTGCCCTCCTCGTGGATCTGAGGCACAAACTCTAGTTTCTCTTCGTCTGTCATAGCCCACACATCAAGCTGGAACGATCCTGGAGTCAGAACCTGAGCAAAGAAGAAGACTGACTTTCAGTGGTAGCTGGGGCTTGCACCGTAGGAAGGTAAAACTGTAGTTCTCACTAGAACATAGCAACTCTATATGTTACATATTTATTATGTTTATGAGTTTATTACACCTCTACAATTTAATGCAATTCAATACAAGATCCCTGCAATGAATACTGTCTTAGTGGAAGGCTTATAAACTTCATGTTCACTTCAAACCTCTGTGACAACGTTTGAGACCATAATGGTGTTGTCATATTGGACAGCATTATACTAAGAGGTGTTTCCAGTCATTTCAAACTATGTAAATCTCAAAAACACCTTTCATGTAATGCAAATGGGGCAGGTTATCAAACCTCAATATGTTTTTTGGTACTGACTGACTAGTATCTACAACTGTCAAAGTACTGAAAGCCACATTTGTAATCTTGTTGACTTGTTAAGTATCTATATGGGTTAAATAGATACTTCCTGATTTATATTGTGTAATTATTGGTATTGTATTGGTACCATAACCTCAGTTGGTGCTAAAATAGATCAAACAGCACTCCACTCTGAATGCAACCCAATAAAATACCACAATTAATATTAACCTCTGTGCTCTCCCCTGTCTGCTCACCTCCAGCAGCTCGATGCTGAAGACAAGAGGCTGTGGTCTGGCCTGAAGCTCATCCAGGTCCTTGTGCCCTAGAGAGTGGTGGGAGTGGATCTGGGCTATGCCGCAGCAGTGCCTCTGGCCTTCCAGGGGGTCCTTACCAGCACTGATGTTTCTCAGGGACTGGGACACAAGCGGGTACAGTGCTGTGTGCTGAGGGCCGAACAGAAAGAGTCAATGCACAGCAACCAGAACCAGACTGCTACCCTATCTGCATCCTAAAGATCCAGACCACTAACCTTAGTGTCACAGGTAAATTCTGAAATTTCGCCTTGTCTCATGGTGATGATCACTCTCTCCCAGACAGCTAGTTTAAACTTCTTGCCCAAGATGAGCTCCATGGGTTTGCTGCGGCCCCCCATGGTCCTGGAGTCATCCAGCACTTTGCCATCACATAGGCTGGTGCGGTAGTGGAAAACCACCTAGTAAATCAGAGATAGTGTGAACACGGACAACAATTAACACTTCTCAACAGAGCTATCTGGTTAAAGTAGCTACTGCGACAGCACCCTTTTTTTAGGACACCAGATCGATGCAGCTGATTACTTGTTTACTAGAAACAATAGGAGCAATCTGAGCTTCTCTGACAGGCCTGGAGTGCGTCTACGCTCCATCATATTCTGACCATTCACAACAATGGAAAATAATGGACATGGTATGCCGACCAATCAGCATTCACAAACACATACCATCCTGTCCCGCCCCTGTCTTTCCATCAGATGAAAAATTAGGGGAAAAAAATCTAGCCCTGCTTAAAACAGCTCTTTTCAAACCAAACGTTGTATCACTAAATTACAAAGGCAGCAATGCTCTTCTCAGTGGTATCTGTAACGTTATACAAGCAACATGCGTTTGGTGTAACGTTAATCTGACAGAGTCTAAAGTGTTAGCTAAGATATAGCTGGAGATAGCATTAGCTAACGTGCCTCGTCGCACTTCTTAAACTAATTCAGAGGACTGGACTCAACTGGTCCGACCGCTGGCACTGTAGTTTTACCTTGGTTCCATTGGGAAAGGTCGACAGCTCTCCTTTACCAGGACTGATCAGTTTTTTTATTATTCCTTCTTCGAGAAGCTTGCGTGCCGCTTCCTCCATCCTTGACCGAGTCTCAATTCACGACAGAAGACGAGTTTTGCCGAAGCCAGTCGTTTCACTTGGGGCCTCAGCGCGCCCTCTACACGTAGACTGCGTAAGTGTCATTATATTAGAGACCGGGGCCTGCAAGACTCCTTTTTCATTACCCTAATTAAAACATAAGGGACACAATACAAATGATTCAACTGTCTTTCATACCAGTGCATTATGATTTACATTATGAATCAGTTTTTAATTCAAGGCACATACAATTTATTGGTCAGCTATGGTTTTTAACTTATACACCACTGCAGTATATACAGTTTACATTATCATCAGTGGCATGTCACTTAAGTAACTTTAAGGTCCTTCTTCTTATATTATTTTACCTTTATATTATTATATTTCAGAGGGAAATCTTGTACTTTTACGCCATTACATTTATTTTACAGCTTCTGCTCTGGTCAATCACTTCTACAGTCTATTGCACCTTATCTGACAACTGGTGATTTGCACATTTACTACGTATTGTTACTGTTTACTGTGTAGTGTATTGTGTGAATGGTTGGGTCATTCAAAACAACATAGCTGTACAAAACTATAACAGCTGTATTGTATGTGGAAGAATGACAATAAAGCTGACTTGACTTGACCTGATACGAACAGCATATAAATTAAAATGAGCCCCTCCTCAACCACCTGCAACAATAAAAATGCTCCTTACACATTGATGCATCACTAACAACGATCCATTACTATAATACATAATGATATCAAGTTTTTCATTTTGTCATATGCACAACAGTCGCAGTGAAGCAGTCGAAATTCTTTGTTCTCAGCTCTCTCCAGCAATACAAAATATATATGAAAAGAAAGTCATGCAAGTAAAAAATGAAAATCTAAAACTAGTTAAAATATATGAATATAATAGAATATAAAATAGATTAAAATAAAATAGAATATAAACTATTATGTGGTAGACTGGTGGACAGTAGTAATATAGGAGATTATGTGAAATGAGAACTGTAATGTAGAACTGACAGAAGCTATTCTGTTGAGTACTTGTGTTACTTTTAGTACATTTTGCTACGCATCTGTACATTTAGTCGAGTAACATTCTGTGTGGGGCTTGTATTCTTAAATTGTAATACTTTTGCTCTAGTATCTGCATACTTTTTCCACCACCGTGCATCACACCAAATACAGTATCACATCATAAGCAAATGGTTTTTACATGCTCTAATGTGGTTGAAGAGATGAGAAGAGTTATTCACAGACTCTTATCTATTCTATCAGGGAAATAGTTCCTATGAAAACTGTTGACATAGTGACAGCTTTGCAATACTATGTATGTTACTGTATGTACTACAGTATGTAAAACAGTAGTATGTTGTGATTTGTACATGTGTGCAAGTCATGTATCTACAGTAAATGATGCATTGCTTCTCTTTTATGTTAACCTACATCTGCAGTCTAAATGTCACACTGTGGTTTCTTCTCACCACCAGTGGGGTTTTCAAATCTAAATAGTGATTGATTTTGGCTTTCTCACACTTTTCCCAACCTTTTGTTTAAATAGGACAGAACCGCAACTAAATATCTAAATTTCTAAAGAGCTGCCTGCACTCCAGAAGTGAAGTAGTTCTTGATTGAAAAATAGCAGGGCTTTGTTTCCTGACAGCCAGAACTGAAGGTCACTGGGTATGAAACTGCAATTGAAGGACCATTATTCTGAGAAAAAGTAGCTGCATTTCATGAGATAAAAGTTGTTGTGCCCCCATAATATGATAATAATAAATGCAACAAAAACAGTTGAGTGTGTCAGTCAGCCTCATTTCTCAGCTTAGTTCTGAGTAGGCAAAATAACTCAAAACTGTGTGGGTGTACCATAGATGTGTAGGAGGAACTGCCCTGTCACCTTTTATCTAGTCTGACTGATTTTATTGCCTCATTAAAATGTGTAGGCCTAACTGATGTACGTACAGTCCCCTCCAAAAGTATTGGAACGGTAAGGCAAATTCCTTTTTTTTTGTTGTTCATTGAAGACATTTGGGTTTAAGATCAAAGGTGAGTATGAGACCCGCCCGTTTTTCAAGTGAGCAAAACTATTGGAACATGTGAAGTTTTCATTCTTGGTTCAAACCTATAAAGACTGCATTTCCTTTTAAAGACGATAAACCAACATGAAGACCAGAGAGCTGTCTATGGGAGAAAAATAAGCCATTGTCAAGCTTAGAAAAGACGGAAAATCAACCAGAGCCATTGGATTAAAAAAAAGGGCATAGCAAGCACAACAATTTGGAGTGTCCTGAAAAGAAATAAACTACTGGTGTACTGAGCAACACACGTCGAATAGGTCGGCCAAGGAAAACAACAGTAGTTGATGACAGAAATATCGTGAGAGCTGTGAAGAAACCCCCCAAAACATCAGTAAGTGACATCACCAACGACCTCCACAGTGCAGGGGTGAAGGTATCACAATCCACTGTTCAAAGAAGACTCAGAGAGCAGAAATATAGAGGCCACACCACAAGATGCAAACCACTCATCAGCAGGAAGAATCGGAAGAAGATTGAAATTGAAGTACAGAGATGATGAAGTGATGGAAAGGCCAAAGTGTGGAGAAAGAAAGGAACTGCTTATGATCCGAAGCATACAAGCTCATCTGTGAAGCATGGTGGAGGTACTGTCATGGCTTGGGCGTGCATGGCTGCTTCTGGAACAGGCTCATTAATATTTATTGATGATGGTAGCAGCAGAATGAATTCAGAAGTGTACAGAAACATTTTGTCTGCCAATTTACGGAGAAATGCATTGAAACTAATTGGGAGGAAGTTTATCATGCAGCATGACAATGACTCAAATCACACTGCCAACAAAACAAAGGACTTCATCAGGGGAAAAAGTGGAATGTTTTAGACTGGCCAAGTCAACCACCTGACCTTAACCCAATAGAGCAGCATTTCACCTCCTTAAGAGGAAACTGAAGGGAGAAACACCCCGAAACAACCAAGAACTGAAAGAAGCTGCGGTAAAAGCCTGGAATAGCATCACAAATGAAGAATGCAGCAGTTTGGTGATGTCGATGGGTCGCAGTCTTGAGGCAGTTATTACAAGCAAGGGTTATGCCACCAAATATTAAATGTTATTTACTTTAAGATAATTTGTTCCATTACTTTTGCTCACCTACGAATGCTGTGGTCTAATACAAATGGTGATATGTCCTAAGTTGTTTAACACATCTAAATGTGAATACCAGGAAATAAAAGCTGAAATTCTCAACTCTCATATATTTTGATCTCAAAACCAAATGTCTTCAGTGAACGACACAAACAAAGGAATTTGCCTTACCGTTCCAAAACTTTTGGAGGGGACTGTACCTCTATTTCAGGGTTTATACAGAGATGAGTGTAAAGGTTGTTGTGTACAGTATATGGATGCTCTGCTATGATTAATATTTATTTGAGTTTTAGCGGAAGTTAAAATATAAGAAACAAAATTAATGATATTTATTTGAGCCTTCTGTGTTTTAGTAAAATACTTTAAAGAAGCCTAAAGCATGTGAAGTACTCAAATAAGCTTTTCAACCTCATCACTCATTTAGTATAACTTTAATGAAAACTATGTTGAAAATAAAACATCTGTTTAATTTTATTAAAGGCGCATTATCAGTCAGTACTAATTTAATTATAGCTGTTTTGTGAATGTTCATTTGCCATTTGTTAAATTTAGTTTTCCCGTGATCCGTTTTCTGCTAACCATGAGGGGCCATAACCAATTTTACAGCCACTTCCTTGTTGGACTCCTTATTACAATACCTTTCGTCTAACAATTGTTTATGGTGTCTCAGCTTTTTGTGATCACTTTTACTGAATGTGTTACCCAATACAATTTTCATTTTCAAAGTTGCCTTCAGTAAAAACCACAAAGGCCAACTGCTGTCTTGAACATTTATTAGAAGTGTTTAGCTCATGGCGTAGCTGTACGCCATCACACATAGTGAGGGCAGAAGATCCATGTTTACCAGCTACCAGCTTTCATGAAGGGTTGCTAAACCAAGTTAAAAAACAAATAATCCTCCATCCTCCATCAACCAGCAAATGACAATAAACAGCTTCATTCAATAGTCTGGGTGTATACTTGTTTCTGATTGGCTGGAGGATTTAAACAAACATTTTATAAAGTAAAATCGAAATTTAGACCCAAGAAAATCAACAACGGCTGAAGGCATTTCTTCAAATGACCATCGTGTAAGCAGGATAAGCTAATGCCTTAAGCAAGACAAACAGTCCACAAGTGTGTATTAAGGGATTTTACGCATGCCACTTAAGGAATTTTGCCTTTATTGAACTTTTCAGTTCTTAAACACAAACTTCATTATATATTATTCTGTACTTATAATTATCGTAGTACAATCTGGACCTGCTCTTTATGAAAAGTGCCCTGAGATGACTTATGTTATGATTTGGCATTATATCAATAAAAGTGAATTTAATTGAACTTGAACTGCCTAGCGGGTCTATAATATTATGTCTATAGTCTCAAGGCCACTGACACAATGTAAAATATACAAAAGTTTTATTGTTATTTCACAGTCATTATTCACACAACATTTAAAACACAGGCAAGACCAATCTCCTTCTTTTTCGTGTCCACATAAAGCAATGTCAGTTCATGTAGTGGAAGCATGTAGTCAAGGCACTGAGTGGTTGAATTAGTAGTGGTCATAACAATGACAAGAAAAAAACAACCATGTGACAATACATGTACAAAAGTGACAAAATACAATTCATTCACAAGATGGCAAACAAAGTAATGTGAAAATGTAGAGTTTCATGAAATGTCATTTTTCAAAATAAGGTAGGTAGAACAATTTGAAGCCTCTTCTTCCACGGACAGCACAGCTGATGTAGATCACATGGTACACTGGAGGAAATAAAGGCATTGCATTTGCATTGTTAATGTCAACAAAACAAAGCATTTCCTGGTACAGTCCCTAGGTCAAGTAAAACAAACGTTTCAGCCATTCAAATGATCAATTTACCTCCAGGGATGAAGAGAAGAAATCCCGGTATAA